TAATTGTAATTATAGCATGCCCTTTTTAAATGAACTATTTTCAAGTAAGAAACTTAATTTTCAATCAAGGGGAATTTATAGTTAATTGGAAAATGCTGAATTTAAAATTACTGTCCCTGCTCAAGACTTTAATTTGGACCTTGAATCTTCCAACATTTGAAATCTATGTATCACATGAAACTTTGATGAATTGTAATACATGCTGAATGGTTTTAAAATTGTAGGCAAGAAACCAATTAACTGAAGGTGAGATTGATCTGCAGATCCCACACTGCATGGTTACATTCCTTTGATTATCTAATTATTTTACTTATTTTGGGAAACAATGTGAAGGCTGATTTTCAATGTTTATCTTGCAGTATGTAACATGGAGGCCATTGGTCTGGCCAGTGGTGGTGCAATCCCAGACAGCAGTTTTACAGCCACATCATTTTATGATGTTAGATATAAATCTTATTACGGTCGTCTGGATGCAGATGAACTGGGTTGGGCACCAAAGACTAAGACTAATCCTGCTGACTTCTTACAGATTGACCTGCTGTATGAGTATTTTATCTGTGCTGTGGCCACTCAAGGAAGCTCGGGTTCCCTGGAATGGACAACTGAATACAAGATTCATTTGTCTTTGGATGGTACAACTTTTTTTGCATATAAGGAAACCAGTACTGACAAGGTAATGGAGTATGTGAAGGTTATTTCTTTTATATATCAAAAAAAACAAAATTGGCATTTGGAGCACCCATAATATGCTTTTGAGTGGAGAGGAGGGAGACAAAAAAGACTTACACTTTGTCAAAACTCTGGCTAATTAAATTTTAATTTCAAGTAGACTTCAAACTGTTACTGGTGTACTACAGGCCTACACTGTTCCCTTCATGGTTCAATCGATGGTTTAACACTAACATCCTGTAGTTTTTAGTAAAGTCAACTGGACTTAATACTAACCATGCATATAACTACCAGAAATGATATTACAATTCATAAGGCACATGCAGTCACATATTTAGTACACAATCTAATTATTATTTTGATCATATTTTTTGGAGATCAGAGACATGTTCTCATACAGAACTCAATGGCTCATGGTTTATTGGCTAGTTACCGACTCAAAGTCACAGTTTATGAATTAAATGATATTTGTAGTTGTTAATATTGCAGTCTTTTGGTGCTTAACAATGATTTCTATTTTACACCACAAACTGCAGCTTTTTCCTGGAAACTCAAATAAAAATGGTGTTGTGAAATACAGTCTACAGGAATTTGCAAGAGCAAAGATAATCCGGTTTCAACCAATAAAGTATCATAATTGGCCAGTTCTGAGAGTGGAAGTCTATGGGATACTTCTTACTACTACAGGTATTTATTTTTTCTCATTTTTGACTCCCTGAGGTAAACATGAAGTCACAGAAACCAATTATTTTTGGAGGGCAAGATTGGGTAAGTGCAGGTTGAATAATTTCTAACTTTTGCTGAAGCTTGATGGGATGCGAATTGTTTTTCATATAATTTTTGGAGCCGACCAGAAAATTTGATGAATTGTGCCATCCATATATCTGAGATAAAACTGTGAAATGTAGCAGTGGTTATGGATCAATCATCATTATAGATGCTAGAGCGTGAACATTACAATGATCACAGGTACTTGACTATGTGTTTCCAGGTATTTCTCTACATACATGTGGGCTTCTTTAAAAGCTGCAAAATTAAAACCAGGTCAAATAATGCAGACAACAAAGTTGCAGTTGGTGGTAAATATAAAAACAAAATGTATGAGATGGCTTTGCTGATCCTGGAACTTAGTAGATTGTTAAGCTCATAATTATGTCATGCATAGCATTTACACACTAAACATAGGAATAATATTGATTTAATGTGTACACGCATGTACAATCAACATTACTGACTTTGCTCCATACTCCTTTGTAAATTTGTAATGCTTATTACTTATTACTGCTAAGCATGCAATCATTTATTGTACATCTCTTCTTGTTTATTTCAGTTCCATCACAACCTCCCACTGACTTCAAGTTGAATGCAAGTTCTTCTACCAGTATTACAGCTTCCTGGAAGTTACCGCCATTATTTGCAAGACATGGAAGAAACATTACAGGGTTTAAATTGTTCCACAAAAAGAAAGGTTCAACAGGATCTGCTTCCTCCTTCACTATAAACAGTGGATCGATATTAAGTAGACTTGTCACTGAGCTTGAC